CGTGGTCAGTGCCATGTAGGCCCCACCGTAGCCACCATGTGCCGCAGTCACTAAGCGCTGCCGGCTCCAGCCACTTGCCAACCGCCCCCCACCCTGCCAGGTCCTGCACAGCACAGGCTGATATGCCCCAGGCCCTGCACACCCTTAGGAATGGCTTTGGGGACAGGATACAAAAACATGAGAAGAAACTTCACAGGAAGCTTTGTTTAAGAAAAAAGACAACCCCTCTTTGGCTTCCAAGTTGTTTACAGCATGGATGGCCAATGTGCAGCATGTGTGCCACAAGTGGCACAGGAAACCTCCATGTGTGGCAGGCCACAGATCAGGGAGGAGGCCAGCAGCACAGTGACAGATAGAGCAGGAAGCAGAAAACAGAGCAGTAGATCCAGCACAGGAAGAGCATTGTGGAGGCCCTTGGGGAGGGTGCAGAGATAACTTGTGGCACACCTGCCAAAAAAGTTGTCCCCGACAGATTTACAACAACCTGCACTCCAATTCCTTTATGCCAAACTTTGTGATAAAGGCTGAACATTCTGATTTTTTTGATCTCTCCCCTTCGAATGGATTAATTGTATTGCTGACCTTGGCAGTTTGTTTCATATACCATTCATGCTTTCCCTATGAATAGAAGAGAAAGAAAGGGGAGAAAAAACGCTTTTCAATTACTTATAGAGCTCGAACCCTGTTTAATTTTGATCCATAGCTGTTTTCTTCTTAATTACTTTCCATCTTGTACAGTTTATTTAAATTAATTTTTATTCCTGAGTACAGTGTCTTTAGGAGATTGAACCTACCCTCTAGTTTGCAATTGAGCTTTATTCCCCAAACTTAACATTCATTATTCACTCTTAGTGCAGGGATCAGATCTTCTATTTTATCTCCATGACAATTTTATGCAGATTTGTAAATCTCCTTTTCTCAGAACATCCTGTCATTCCAGCCTCTAGATGGCACCTGAATGTAAAAGGGCAGTGAGAACCATACTAATGATTATTGCGTCAGCACTCTAGAAATATTGCAGATGGCCCTAGTTCATGGTTCTTTCACAAATAAAGCTATCTAACATTTTCCATAAGTTGTCAAAACATTAATCCTCCTTCTGAAACTGCCAGTTGATACTCTTTATAAGGAACTGAGCAGCAGGTTAGTGCCTGGAAGAGGGGGAAGTGGGTTGTGATTTCCATCTTTAACACACCTAAAGAGAACTGTGACATGGGTATGGGTAAGTGCCCATGAGATACCTTCATGAGCAAAAGGCCAGAGAAGTGGGTAAAGAAGAAAGATGAATTTAACTCATAGTTATCACTTTCTTACAGGTGGTATATAGTGGTTTGTAACAGGGTTTTGTTTCAACCACTCTAACAAGGCAAACATTGTTTAAACTCTTTCTGCTGGAAATGAGTTTGAGTCAAATTTTGAAATGTTTTGACAGGCTCACACTAAGCTGACTCTAGATAAGATTTTAGCTACAGCAATCCTAGGGCTTAAAAAACAGTCTTGAGAAGGTTGGATAGTTACCCAGTATAGGATAAAAGAATACACGTACTTTAGTAAAATAAAGACTGAATTTGTTACAGTCTGTCTAGGTGTTTACAGATGTTACATTTTTTTTGGTTTAATCATATAGCCGTCACTATGTACATGTGGACGTCTGTAGTCTGCATTAAAATTGGCTCTAGTCCAGAGGTTCCCAAGCTCTGACAGATTGCACACCACCAATTTAAAATGATACAACCTTAAGTATCACCAGCAAATTTTTGTCATATAAAGTAATTATAAAAAATCTGTTAACGCATACCACTGACAGGTTGTCTGCATACCACTGGTGGTACCCATACCACAGATTGGGAACCACTGCAATTAACTAATCCTCATTGAGTGAGGACTAAAATTAATGCAGACTAGGGCAGTCCAAGTTAAGCAATGTAAACTGTATTAATTAACATGTATATACAGCATCTGCATTTTATTTACTTCTTCAATCAGATGTTTTGCTAAGCACAAGAAGGCAAGAGAACTATCAAGGGAGAGCTATAGCCTTGTCTGAAGACAAAACCAGAACCTTACTTTGCTATATAACCTATAAAATGAAACAGGCAAAAAAGGCAAAGAATCAACAGCCACTGTCTCCTTTCAAACCCTGCAGTGTAATCCCCCAGGTGCTTCAAAGTGTTTGGCATAGACTGGCTAGAAATCATTAATGCTATAAATCATCTCCAAGATTGAATGCTATAATGTGTCAATCCATAGTACAGAATTGCTACAATGGTTTTTAATGGTTGCCTAAGGTTTATCCCATTGATTTTAATTAGAGTTACGTGGCTGCAGACTTGTGCATGTGTTATGAAAATGTAGGGACATAGGTCTGTCTTAAACCACAAGAGACAGTAAATTCTGTTGCAGCTGAAATGCTATCCTAACTGACCCTGCTACTCTTCTTGTGGTAGGTTACTGTCCCAGGGTACCAGTACAGCTGGAATCCACTTCAGTTGTTCCATACAAGGGACTGTACTGCACCGTAGAGTGAGTGAAGGATGAGTTCCAGCATTAACTCTGAATGTTCTGCATCTAAGGCAGACCTTTAACATTATTTCATTATACTGTTTGGCATGCAAATATATTGAAGTTTCAGGTTCCTGTCAGTAATACATTATTGTCATTGGGCTGATGTTTCTTGATAATGACTTCAAGAGGAACGAAAAAATGAATTGTCAGTGCCTTCAACCATCTGTATCTTTAAGAGCTGCCAGCAGTAGCTCCTCCTGGAAAACACAGTGACTCTTTAGTGCTTATAATGTCCTCCCATCACCCTGTTTCATTTCACTAGCCAAGAAGACCACAGGCCAAATACCAGATCATGACCTGAAGCTTCTCAGGCGCCCTTTGAGTCTTTGACTATTAGTTCACCAAATAAAAGGTTAAAGGGTTTGATCATATTCTACAGCTCCTGTGGCAGGGCAGCTTTGGAGCCCAGCACTTCAAGACCAGCAAACAGGCAGCAGCCAGGTGCCTGATTAGGGTAGTCATTTTGGTCCAAGGGTATAAGCTGGGCTGCAGTTTGCTGCAGGAAGGAAGGAGGAAACATCAGGCTGAGAGGCTGTTCCAGCCAGAGTCAGGAGGTAAGGGCAGGGGCTATGGGGTGGAGATGACCCCTTGTGCTGCGTAAGATGTAAAACTGCACCCTGCCAGGGAAGGGTGGCCTGGTGGGACTCCTAGTGGCATGGGAGCCCCCAGGAAATGCAAGGCCAGTTACCTCCCCAGTGAAAGGCGGGTTGGGGTGCTTTAATAACCCCAGCTCCACATCCCTGGTGGTGCTTTAGTGAGCAGGGGGAGCCCAGGGCTCGATTAAGGAGCCCTGAGGCAGAGCTCAGGTTGGAGGAGGGACCTGGGGTAGTGGAGGGGGGACCTGGGAGGACCCAGGTGGCAGAGGAAAGTCAGGGAGCGATGAGTACAGGGACCCTGTGTGAGAGGGGCGATGAACAGAGTGGCCCATGAGTGTGGGTGAGTGAGGAGGCCCAGTGGGGGCATAATGGTTCGGTGAGAGTCTAGGCGTGAAATAGGCCTACAGTCGTACAATTGCTCAGTCAATGCTCAGGTGAGGGTAGTGGGAGATACCCAACAGACTGTACCGGGGCTGACCAAGGCAAGGCGAGAAGAGCTAAGCCCAAATCTGGGTGAGGCTGGGTGGCATGAGTGTGGCCCCTGAGAGAGGGCAGTATGACAGAGACAGGATGAGAACCAGTGGAGTGAGTGGGACCCTGGTGAGAGAGGGGTAGTGTGTGAGTGGCCCTCCTGGGCTATAGAAAAGAGCTACAACTGTGTGCCCAGTTTGCTATGGCCATAGGCTGGAGAAGTAACATCAGAGAAACATCTGTGAGGCATGGGACCCATATAGGGTCAGTTGGAGCAGGAATTAGGCCCTTGTCAGCAGGGTGAGTAATGGGCAGCCTCCTGCCTTTGTAACACCTCTCATATTTTTCCATCAAGGCATGGCAGAAAAGCGAAGCTGGTGGTTAACCCAGTAGCAGGCTGGCCATTGAAGACCTGATGAGGAGGCCATCCTGTTACAGCTACCTACATAGTTTAACACTGAGTTATAACAAGATCCAGTGTCTGGAAGTTGGAGATGGACAGTTTAAGGCCAAAAATAAAACAAACCATTTTAATTGTGAGGCTAATTAACCACTGGCACACTTTGCCAAGCAGGGCTGTGGATTTGGTAGCAATTTTTTAATCAAGATTTAGGAATTTTCTAAAATATATGCTTTAGTTTAAAGAAGAATTAATTCAAGATAGTCATATGACTTGTTGTGCAGAATGACATGAAACCCTTCTAACCTTATAATCTATAAATCTTTGATTCATTTCATTTTTAACATACAAACATATATATGCAAGTTCGAATATTTTCTCTGAGATAAACTCTTTAAGCCATTAAGCAGATTACCAGACAAAGGCATCACAGAGCATTTCTGTTTACTTTATGCCTTCTTTGCCTCACTCACTAAATTTATCTGGTGCAAAATATGACACGTCAAACTACGTGTTTGAGGAGGAATCTTGGAAGAAGCATGCAACACATTGATTCTATAATTTAAAATGGCTTCCAGTTCACTTCTGGTTACATTTTAAGGTGCTTGTTAAAGTTGATAAATTGGCCAGGTCCTCTCATTGGTTAGTGACAGATCACCTTTCTTTGTGTGTAGTAAGACCATTGACATAAGCTGAAATTCTTGAACCTATATCTTAGTACTTTTAACAGGGGACTCAGGGTAAAGTCACTGTAGAACTCAGATATTTGGTTTACTATTAAGCTTTCACCATTAGTCTCGTGGTCTCATAATTAAGCTTTTTACCAGGAAACAAAACATTGATTGGTTAATAATTAAGCTACTAGCTACATTAAGTTAAATATTATATTATAAGGAGGGTTGTTTGTTGCTCTTGGTTGGTTGGTTGGTTTTTGTAAACATCTTTATGGCTTGGCATTGTTTCATGGAGAAACACCGAAACAGTTTGCTGGTGCCTCCTCTGAGGGCACAGGAATCCCACTGAAGTGAGAGTATAAGTAATATAGGAGTCCCAAAAAGGTAAACACCCTTATTTTTAACTTACCCTATCTTTATTATACAGTAGAGAAGGGTGGGTTTGAGGCAGACAATCCTAGTATTTTTAGGATTTTTTTTAAGGCTGGCACCTTTCTACATAGTGATTTGGCTGACAAAACTACTTCGCTAGTTCTCTGATTTACATTCTACAGGTTGTAAAACCTCAGACTATATTTCTGAGTGTCTCCTAGCATATATTGCATTTTAAACTGTATTTCAATCTCTGTGCTGATGCATTTGAAGTAATGATCTTAATTAAGTGCTAATTTAAATGCTAATACAGTATTTTCTAGAGCATCTGATAACTTGACATTCTAAAACAGTGCAGTTGTTGTCTAAAATGCTGGCAGCAAGTGAATTCCACATGTATGAGAGTGCAAAAAGGATAACTGTGTGGGAGGAGGCTCTTTCACTCTCTATTTAAAAAAAAAAAGAAAGAAAGTACAGTAGATGGGATACAGTCTTATAATGATTTCGCTGGCATAGAAGTACACCACAATATAACATTACCTGAGAATAGTCTTTGAATATATTGGTCACTGTTGTCCTTATAATGACACCAGAACACTGGAAGTTTGAAGACTGCTCATTACTGGTGGGCCCTTTTGTTATTTTTTTAAAATTTGAACTGCTGTAATAGCCTTGTTACAAAAAGAAGGCGTTTGAACAAAAGGGCGATGAAAGCTAAAAGAAAGTAGTGGCAAGTATTGGTTCCATTCAGTCAGAAGAAAAAGCTGGAACACTGCTTCCACGGCATGCTGTCAAGAAGAGGTTTATTGGCTTGCTTGGTGATGAGTTTTGCTTCGTATCTGACACTGCCCTGGAGAGAGAGATGGGAAATGCGAGTTTGCAAGGAGCTGGAAATGAACATCAGCTGCAGAGTATAGATCCAAACATTCAAGGTGGTTCAAGTTTGGGGTCATTTTACAAAGACAGTTTGAAGCAATGCCAGATCCCAATTGAACTTACTGAAAACTGAAAGATTTCAGTTTTGTGTTCTTTTTCTTTAGAATGGACTGGTTCATCTTCTAGGGTTTTTACTACAGCAATGTGCAAAGAGCTCCTCTCCCAGTAGGAAACAATAGAGAACCTCTGGCAATTAATTGATAATCTGGGCCTGCTTATACCAGATATCTGCAGACACCAAATAACCTTTAGAGGTGCCCAAGAATGAGTTACCATAAGGTGAAAATGGGTTTGAGTTTCTGTGTATCAGCTGCTCCCTGATAATAACTGGTGGCATGGCTCTTGTCTCACAGTAAAGGACATGTAAAATGCAGTAATGTAGCCCCCCCTCCCTGGAGGAGGAAATGACTGAAGGTTAACTTTCAAGTGGATGCAGCGCTCCCGGAAGTGGCTGTGGCACTCCCACTCCTCAGCCAGCGCTCACAAGGGAGGCACCAGTGCTCCCACCTGCTCCCCCTGCCCGTCACCTAAGTGGGGAGCGCGGTCTGCCAAGGGGTGCACCCCCATGCTTCCCCTACATGTTGCCACCATCCTGGTCCATGACTAGGTCCCTAGGTGTTACAATATTACAAATAATACACCATATTCTTCTCTGAGACTGAGTGAACTGTCATTGCAATGTCGCAACTGAACCCTCTCAGAGCAGCATGGATAATTACTAATGTATAACTGGGCTGGGACAAGTGATATGTGTGAGCATGTATAATTTTAAAATGTTCCTTAAATTTAAAAAATGTTGATAACTCACTATCAGCTTTTCCCTAGGTCATCAGTTACCTCGTTCTTAGAGTTAACCACATTTTCCACAGATGCTTCTGTCCATCTGTATACATTCCTCAATATAAGTGACCTTTTTAAGAGAGATTCAGATCATGTACATATGTGCACAACATATCTTACAGACATGCTAGCTTTTACCACTAGACCATGTCAGGGAACGCTCCATGCTTACACCCCTGTGCTCAGTATCACACACAACTAGATTCTTGTGTAAGACCGAAGCATTTGCAAGAAGTCATACATTTGTCTCTGTACCTGTTTGTGTGAAAGCTTCACTTTATACTGGGCTAATAACAGAGATGATTATGCATTCACGCAGAAAATGCACAAAACATACAGACTCTCTAAATGATGTTGTGTTTATACGAAATCTTCAAAGTTTCAACACCTATATGCTGTGACACCACCAGCTATAATTTACTTGTGTTCTTTGCAGCTAATCAGCTTCTTCATTTGGGAACTTCATTTTTATTCATAAACTGCGGTTTCCCAGACCAGGGAGGAGTCAGTCTGAATGTATGGACTTAAAAATGCCTGTACAGTGGGTAACTAGAATAAAATTCAATCAGACTTTGAACACGCAGGCCATGTCCACACAAAAATGGACGTTTGGTTCCCTGGGGACAATTAACATCAGCACACCTTGTGCCCCTGCTAGCTGTCCCCGGGGAACGGCTGTACCATGTGCCCTCTGACACGTGGCAAGTTACCCAGCCCCAGCAGCCTTAGCTGGGATCCTGGGGGCCTCCTGGGGCTGCAGCAGTGGCAATCCTGCTGCTCTGAGCCTGGCTGGCAGCTGGAGCACGGCTCTGGCCAGCCAGGATCTAGTTATGAGCAGTACACGCTGCTCCTGCATGCACCACTCCGCCTTTTTTTTTGCACAGGTTCTTTTGACCCCTGAGTCAGTCCCCTCCCCACTGCGCTGCTTCCTTGCAGCGTTGAGAACAGCTGAACGTGCAGTATGTGGTTTGGCAGACATGTCCGCAGTGCCACATGCTATACGGCCACGCTCGTCTGAATGTGGGCACTAAAGGGAGACTTTAAAAGTAACAAACACAGATTAGCTTGGATGTTAAGAAAAAGTAGTTCTGTTTATGTGAGATCAATGTTACTTTTTCACTCTTCTGGTTTTGGTCCATGTCTATAAATCAGTGACAGGTATAGCTCTGAGATCTTCATATCAAAAAGCCCACAACTCCCCCCATGTATCAATAAGCTACCTCAGAGCCCTGCCAATTTTGAACCATAGACAAATGACATGGAAAAGCACCTGTTTAACAGGGAACTTTAATATCTCTGAATATAGAGGGTTTAAAATACATGCCATAAAAACCCATGGAAAACAAATCCCAAGAATGCAAACACAAATCCCCAAAGTCTAGATAATCCAGAATAGGTACCAGGTGTTTTTTTTAACTCACTCTAGTTTATAACAGAGGCCACCCTTTGTATATTTTACTAGCTTGGTTTTGTCTCTTCTCTCTGTTGTGTTTGTCACAAATTCACCCCAAAACCGAATTGCCTTTGGGGTTCACTGCACAGCATACACGGATATTCTCCTAAATTAAATTTATTCCTATGGTGTTTAGTATCTATTTGTAACTAGTATGAAGTTGGGGTCAGTTTTGTCATTTCCTGTATGCAGCATAATATCTGATATAAATATACTTTTCAAGTGTAATGTAACTGGAAGATAATCAAGTGAAGTATTTAGCATGTCTGCCTGTAATGGGGAAAATAGACTCCCTTATAGAAAAGCGAACTGGGGGAAATGGCCCTTTAGCCAGAGGGGCTCCAAGTACTTCAAGCAGACTGGAAATTTCAAAAAGATTCTGGTGATTCACGAGCAATTAGAATGATGCTGTGGGGTGAGGGGCAGGTTGGAAGAGATTTAGAAAGTTGGCTATGGGATATGCTTTATCTTTGGATGGCTATGGGATATGCTTTATCTATGCTTTATCCGGGTAGGCTGATGTTGGGAAGGCTGATCTCTAAAAAAGCTTTAGCAGGACTCTAAGGAGAGCTAGGGTATAGCCAGATGAGAAGGTAAGAAACTTTTCTTGTCTCTTCATTTCTGTTTCCGAATCTGTGATCAGTTTTGCTTGTATAATTCTTTTCTCCGATATAATATGTTCTCCTATATAATACATTCTTTTACTGTTTTGTCTCCTTACTGACTACCAGTGGAAGGAGTGATTTCCAGGCGAGTGACAGTCCAGTTAAGAATAAAGATAGATACTCCCTTTCTACAGAAAGGGGGACCTATACTTTCTTGTACAACCCAAAGGGAAGGCTGTCTAGGGCTGGCAAAGATTCCCTGACTGCAGCAGTGGGATTCATTTTAAGGCCAGTAGAGCTGAAGTTTGCTGGAGTAAGAAGTTATCCCAGGGCAACCTCAGTCTGTTTCTTGGGGCAATTAGCAGCACAGTGGGGAGAAACTCAGGCTTCTGGAGGTCTCTCACAAATAGTTTTGTTACAGTGTCCTCTCTTCCAACAGATAACAAAAAGAAGTACCATATTTACTCAAATGCAAGATGAGGTTCCCCCTTCCCCCCGCCATTAGCATGGGGAAAAAGCCCCTCATCTTATATTTGCACAGCAGCAATGGCCACCGCCCCAGTAAAACACAGTATCTATCTTTAAACTGATGCTAGAAGCAGCATGTGCTAAGTCATGGGAACCAACCATGAAGTTGACTGAATATAGGCCATGCAGAGCATGCCCATAAAATACCTGGCCTACATTGCACAAACACCCTGATGGGGAAACTTTTTTTTTGTGGCCCTCTAAAAAAAATGGGCAGTTGCTCTCCAGGGAAGAACAAGCACCAGGCCTGTAGGTACTGCAATATCAGACCAGCACTTGGATTGGCCAGAGCAAGGTCCAACACCCTCCCCTGGTGCCAAAAGTTCTGAAGGGAACCTTTGTTTAAAAAAAAAAAAAGTTATGTAAAGCACACTTAATATGTGTACCATATAGTACCATCTCCTGCACTAATGACAGGTTTATTTTGGTGATACCCAGAAAGCAGCAGACCCTCTCCCACATCTTTTTTTCCATATGTATGCTGCCAAACCAACTTCCCACTGTCTCCTCTTCCTCACACCTCTCTCTTGGGCACCTTGGTAAGTTTATCAAGCCCCATCCGTGTTGTACTTCTCTCACATTGGCAGTAGCACAGCCTTAAATGCTGCCAGTTTTCCAGCGAAGGACAGGGTCTTTCTGGACCATAACCA